AAAACCGCCCCCCCCCCTTTTCTTTTTAAATACCTGCAGCTAATTTAATGTCATAAATATTTTTTAACATGTTAGAAATGGACTCCTGAGTGCAATAGTAAAAGTGCTAATAGAACTTCTGCTGCAAATTTATCAGGTGGGTTGGATCTCAAATACACTGGAGCTTTGAGGTGGCATGTCTCCAAGTTCACAACGTATTTCCTTCTGTCTCAAGGATGGTCCCTGCTTTAAATTACTCATGCTCTGTTGTACAGACATGTTAACAGTTGAGTTGCACAAGAACAACAGAAAGTTTGAGATTTTAGATCATTTGCCAGCTGAGATTCCAGTAAGATTTTACAGGAACATAACACATGAAAAAGTCATCCTGTGCATTATCATTGCTACTTTATTAGAGCAACGCCCATGTGCCCCACCCCAAGTGAGGATTACAGTCTGCTTGAGCCTGTGAATATAGGAAGGTGGTTCCACACATTGGGTTTATGAGTTTAATGTACTACACATAGAGTAGAGAAAAGGACATATTATCATCAGTATTCACTGATGGGTAATCACTCTAGGAAGAGATCCTGTTTCAGGTTGGTATTAAGTGTTTAGCTGTGTTTACCACATTTACCTATTGGTTTACTTGGTGTTTACACGTAGTACTGCAAAAACATGACTTGTCCAAGATCTGGCAGGAGGCCCCTGACAGAGCTGGGAGCTAGAGTGTCATCAGTCACTATCCAGTGACTATCCATCCTTTTATTGCAGAAGCCCAGTAGTGATGGATATTATTTTACCTGCAACTTGATGATGGCAAACAGGAGTCAGACTAAAACCTTCATCTGAAAAGGTACGCATCTGTTTCCCTTGAGGAAAAGAGATTATCCATGTGTTATTGATACCAGCATGTTTATGGCACACTGTAGAGCATTTCTCATACTGTTCAGTTAAGCTCGCCGGTATGCACACACAGCTAGCAAGTTCATTGCAATACAGTCCTTATTAAGCACTAGAATGCTATTGTTTGATTTTTTTTTAATTCCTTTTCTGATCAGAATAGTTTGGAGTAAGCAAAATAAAATTAAAAAATGCATAGGAAATTGTGCACTGGGTAATAAAATTACTGAGCTCTATTTGCCGAACATACTGCTTCCCTTTGGAGAAACTTGTTTCCCCAAAGAACCAGAAGAAAAATGTGCTTCCTGGTTTTATTTTCTTTGGTGTTTCTGTGATGACATTTTAGTGATTGGATTTTTTTTTCAGTTTACACCAGTTTGCACAATTGAAAGATATTCTCTATGTATCATCTCTTTCATTAATCTTATATTACCAGAAGAGCACTAGGGCTCACACATCAGCACTGACAGGACAAGAACATGTTCTATTGCCCTATGGGCATCATCTGTAGTAGCAAAGCCAAAGTGAAGTGTGATAGTAAAGGATACTGACTTTGGGTTTAGAGACTCCAGTTTGACCTTTATGGGTTCTTCTCTTCCAGAGTGCCAGGAGCATCACAAAACTTCCATTTAACAGCTTGCTGGGCACAATGGCCGGGCCTTTTGTCCCTAAACATTGCCAATGAGTAACTGAGATGCTAGTCAACATACTAAGTCTTAAGGCACATACGCATTACCTCCTTCTCTCATTTTTCTGAAATCTGTTATCTTGTTTGAAGCCAAATGATGTATCCTGACGCATGAAGTACACTCTGCACTGTCTGCATATTCTCTCTTGCCTGAGGCAGGAGGGTGGAGTGTTTTTATGTGCCTAACCACTAACTGCTGCAGAAATTTTTAAAATCCTACCCACTTCAGCATGGGCCTAGGGCTGTGTTTTTGCTGGCTGGAATTCACTCCTCAGAAAAATGTTCTGACTTGCTTATAGCCACGTAAATATTTCAAGGGAAGGGCTTTATAGACCAGATTCCTGGAGTAAAACCAGTTTGCTACAACAAAACCTGTCCTTGGGAGATAGATTCTGCTCTCATAATGGTGCAAATGTCCAGTAATTACAGTGAAGTCACTAGAATGACATCAGCATGAAGCTAAAGCAGAAGTAAAATTTTGTTGCCTTTTCTGCTTTACATCTGGGGCTTGCTTAGACTATCCCTGATTTTTTACACCGATTTTCAAGGTACTTATCTTGAAAAGAAAAACTGACATAATTTATTGTAGCTGAGAGGCACTGCAATTTGCCATTACAAAAGATAATATAAGAGCCAGCTGAGATGGGCTTCCTAGTTACCGCTGCTGCATGTGCGAATAACCAAGCGGGTGAGGCGCAGTGCTAATAAAAGGGAATGGCATGAGACTCTCTTATTTTTGTGTCTGCTTCTGGGATTTTCTCTGACGTAGCCATGCCAAAAACTACAGTTTGAAGTCTTTACGAGACTGTACCAGACAAAGAAAACAATAAACAGACCTTCAGTGTTCTTGTCTTTGCTGGAGAACTGATTGATCATTATTTTAAGAAAATTCCAGCCTTTTAAATCTAAGCCCTTGCCCAAACTAGTCCCTGGTACAGCTTTTGTCATCTGTGATGATCTGAGCATATTTTTGTGTTAAAGGTATTTGGATTGTAGTGGAACTTGAAGAGTCGTTTCATTTTCTAACATAATAAAAAAGTTCATTTCATGCTGTGCGTGTGTAACTCTTAGGTTGCTCGCATTTATCCATGCTACTGAAATTGGTGAAGCTGAAAAAGTGGATGTGGTTTAGTTGCTAGGGCAGACGAGCTGGTTTGAGGGCAGTTACCCGTAGGCTGTAGGCCTTGGGTGGACCCAGTGGATTAACCTGGGGTACCAAACAAGTCATCCAGTGAGCAGGTAGGCAGAGATGGAGATGCACACCTTACCTTCTTCCTGGACTCCTGGGGGTTTCACTTTTGCTCTGAGTGTAGACAGGAGTGAGTAGTGTCCATCATCACTTCAGCAGCATCATTGGTTATCGTTTTGTTTTAGAACAAATAACCATTCTACCGAGCACACCTCCTTCCCTACCAAACTGCAGCATCAGCAAGCAGGATTTAAAAATACACTTCCTCCCTGTTATTAAGAAATGAATTAGGTCATTTACCTGAGGCTAGAGAAAGCCTTATAAAGTAAAAATTTAGAGGTCTTTTCCTAGGGATGAAATACGACTGTGATGTTCATGGGAGTTTTCCATCTCTGGATACTGCTGACAATAAAGTCACATCTAGAGGGCTGAGATTTCAATGTGGCAATGTTGTCAGGCACTGACCACACTTACGTTGCAAGCCAGGCTCACAAGTTAATACACCCATGTGAGACCTGGCTTAAAGCTCTCTCCTGTTTTCCTGGTCATACAGTTAGTAAATTACATAACATTTTAAGTGTGTATAATCATTGTGATATGGGGGATATGTCTGTGTATTATTTGTGCCAACAAAATCACATGTCCAAGGAGAGCTGCCTCAGGATTGTGAGGCAGGCAATTCACCAAGAATTGTGAACAGGTATGAAACTCACTTTTTAATATAAAGGTTGAAGCAAATTCTTTAAAAGTCAAAAGGCTTAAGGTACTCACAAACAATGGGAAATCAATAAATACTTGCTTATCACTCCTCCTCTCAAAATACTCAGCTATAGGGAAAGCAACAAGAATGTCTTCTGTGCCATTTCCTTTAGCAACTAAAACATGCAGTGAAGCTTTTTGACTTCTCCTAGTTTCTTGAGTAAAATACGTTGTTTATGCCAGTTGTGGCTGTCGTGGTTTAACTTCAGTCAGCAACTGAGCACCACACAGCCACCCACTCACTCCTCCCCCCCCCCCCCGGTGGGGGGGGG